CTGTCCGGGACTGTCCCCTCCGCGGCCGCAGGAGCGAACGGTGGCCCCACCTGGCTGCTCGGACGTAGCGGGGCGCGGGGCGCGGGTGCAGGGAGAGACAGTCACTGCGGCCAAGGACAAAGCGTCTTTGACCGTGGAATAGAAAAAGCATGGTTTTGAGGGCCATTTCCCACTTTCTTTTAGGTTTGGGTTTCTTTTTTTTAAGAGTCAGTATTTGCTTCCCTAGGTGGCCTCTTAAATATATAGCCTTTTGGTAACTTATGGAGGAAATTCCAAAACCTCTGCCTGGGGTCAGTTTCTGTTTTCAGAACCAGCCTAAACTTGAACACAACTTACATTTGATCCGTGCCTCGTATTAGTTGCACATAAAGTATATGAGATTATGTGGGGGGGGTGGAGGTGGTGAGGTTGAGGAGCCTGCAGGATATTGCACTAGGCGGGCGCCTCCAAGGCGAGGCTAGAGAGACAGCGCCCTGCTCAGGCTCAGCGGTGTGGGGGCGGGGTCACCAGGGCGGGGGACAGGCCGAGAAGACAGAAGCTTGCAACACCGTCAGATACTCTAGGATAAGAGCAAAGCGCTGTGGAGACGCAGGACACCTCCGCTCTGGCGGCATAAAGAAGAGATTTTGTCACAAATTAAATGGAGCTCTGGTGTGGTTCTTCGTGTGGAGCGTCTGGTTTGCTTACACACGCGAGTCACATGCTCGACCAGGCCCTGACCAAGTCACAGCGGAGTGGGTGTAAAAGGGGAGGCGACTGTCCCGTGTGTGCAGCTGGCTGCTCGCCGGCCCTCCCCTCCCTGCTCGGCCTTCCTCTTCCCCGAGAACCTGGTCTCAACCAGCCTCTGCTACCCCCCGGAGGTCACGCCGGAAGGCAGTCCGCATGCTAGTGGCTCTCCATCCCTGCCCTTTAGATTTCTGTAGTGTCCTTAGGGGAGATAGATCCAGATTTTCTTCAGAGCCACGTCCTGAGCCGACAGAGCTAAATGACGAGGAGGCTCCTCAGTCTGCCCTTCACTGGGGTCCGTGTGCTCAGCAGAAATTAAAAGCAGACTCCTCAGATTTTTAACTTCAGATGTCCTTCTGCTATTTTCGTTCAAAACAATATTTGTGTTTATCCAGTAAAATATAAGTCAACTTCCTGAGCGGGAGACTGGAATGTAAGTCTTGTGACAATAATTAGGTAGAAAAAAAGATTCTCATAGGAATCTTTCAGAATGTTTTAAACTTAAGATCCTCGGCGCTGTCAGTGAAAAGAAGCCATAGAAATGCTCAGCCTGCTTATGAAAGAACGAGTATCCGGCCTCCCGTGGACTGCGGTCGCCCCTGTACCTAGCACCATGCCCGGCGCTTAGAAGCTGCTCAATGGATGAATGCATCCATTGTGGTGCAGGGGGGGTTTATTTTTAACAGCAGTTGCTATTAACTGCAAACCTCTGGTATTTGCGATGATGGGGAAGATATGCAAAGGAGTTCAACGGGAACCTTGTGAGAGAGCCGTGCTCAGCCGGGGAGTCTGGACTCTGGGGAGGACTTGTCTCTGGGTGGGGAACACTGCATTTCGCGATCTTACTAGCGTGCAGCCTTGGACAAGGATTTGATTTTTCCCAATTTGGGGTGGTGATTAGAATACGATAAGCTCACTTGTTTAATGTCTAACAGGAAGCTTAGTTTCAATTTCTCATCTCTCTTGTTCCTTCCGAAAACTCACCGCTAAACTCCACTCTCATTTTCCCTGTGGATGATTCGGCCCCGCCTAGTCCCTGTGAACGCCCTGCCCCCCAGCTGCAGGCCTGGCCCATCGGCCAGCTTCTCAGCAATCCCCCCCGCCCCCCGGGCTACTGCCACTCTGGGGCCAGTATACAGTCCTCTCGGCATTGTTCACCTGGAGTTTTTCTTTATTCATTCAATAACTTTACCATGTGTCAGACCCTGTCATAGGCCCCGAGGACACAGGGATTAAGAAAACTGATACACAGAATCCGTCCAGTTAGAGCACTCAGTCTACTGATTAATTGGGTGGCTCCGCAGCGCTCCGTTAACTTTAGGGTTAGAGGTAAGAGGGCAGGGAGGAGGCTTTACGGGGGAGCCTTGCAGGGTGGGTGTGCATGTGTGGGTGTGGGTGTGCCTGTCCCAGAAGTCAGCCTAACAGGGATCAAGGCATGTGACGGGTGGAACCACCATGTTCAATTTTCCTTTGTACGATCGTATAATTTGGATGAGATGAGCATGAGGGTTCAGGGAAGAGGGAAACTGAGGAGGGATTCTGCCTGAGAAAGAGGCCAACAGGACCACGTGTAAAGGACAGTGACGGACAGCGTGTAACAGCCGCTGTCTCACCCCCCGGACACTGTGCTCTGCGTGGCTCCTCCTCTGAGATCAGACCACCTAAAGCCCATCCCGGAGGCTTCCCGGTCCTCCCCGTTCTCTGCCCATTCCGACCCCATCCGCTATGACTCTGCCTCCACCCAGACCTCTGCCTGCCAAACCCCTCTTCACCCGGCCCGCCACCGTTCCTCCTGCTTCCAGCCGCTTCTCCATCCAGCCTGTGGCCCCTGTCATGCGTCACGGTACCCGGTCTTGCCTTTTCTCTGCGGACATCTGGCTGACCCCCACCCCAGGACCACCGGCCCCGTGTGCAGGCTGCTGAGCACAGCTGGGTACAACCAGGACGCACAGCCTACCGGCCTCGCAACGGATTCAGGGGCCTCGCTCTCCACCCGGCCCTAGGCATTCCTTAGCAACCTTTCCCACGCCTACCTCCTCTCTCGCTCAGCGGGTAAGAAGATGCTCTTCCCATCTAAGGCTTAAGGGCACCCTCCAGGATTGTGACCTTACTCCCACCGGTATTTAAATCTTTGCCCTCCACTAGCTTCTCTCTCAGCCTAAATTAACCATGCTGGTTAAGTCAAGACTCTCTTCGTTCCGAGCGACAGAAGCCCAACTCGAGCTTAGGTAAAAAGAGGGATTTTTGTTGTGGTGGTTGTTGTTGTCGAAGATGTGTCTGTCTGGCAGGATCTTTCACTGTAAACGATAGAACTCATTCTAACTATCGTAAGCAAAATATATATATATATATACATAGATTGATATTTAATATACATATTAAAGGGTTTTAGGTAGCTTGGCACGACATCCGGCAGGACCAGGAAATCATGCTTCGTGGCCACACAAAGCCGAACAATATCCCAACCACACCGCCAACTTCTCCACTGAGAAGCCACCCCTGGCGGCGCTGACGCAGGCAGGGGACAAAGCTCCCACCGCCTCCGCTCACCTCTCGCCACCTCGCTGTGCCGGGCTCTCCGGAGGTGGAGGCCATGAGTCACCTGCATCCTTGCACTGCTGAAGTGGTCACACCACGTGGCGCTCAGCATCATCACCGCCTTTTCCCAAGGTCTCTTCTCGGTGGTCGAGTAGACGCTCGGAACTACGTTTCCCTGAATCCCTTGTGAGAATAGCACTTGTTGCCTCATTAGCATGGGAGATTAGCTTCATGAGAATGACTTAGGAGCTTTCCTCACGCCGTCTCTCTTGCTCCCTCTTTCTCTACCGTTTCAGAAGTTTCCATTTGTTGGGAGCAATACTCCGCGCTTACGTTATCACGATCGCGCAAATATAATTCTCAGAACCAGCATGTCAGCACCCTCTGACTTCACTTTTATCTGACTTCGTTTGCCCAGGTGCCTCTGAATCCTCGTTGGTTTCATAGCCTGTGCGCCTGCAACATATTTATCTCGAAACGCTCTTCTGAAAGAGGAATTTAATACATTCGGACTCACTAGGACACACACACGCACACACACACGGATGTTCTGTGTATTTCTCCCGGATGCGTTGGCCAGAGCGCCCTTCTAGAACACTCTCTCCTCCCTGTTTGGTCCAGCTGTTCTGTATCTGCAGCCTGCTCTCCACGTGGGACTCCCTCGGTTCTCCTGGACGTAGGATGATCAGCTCACCTCGTTTGCCAGGGATGGGCCCAGTTTTAAAGCTGAGAGTCCCACATCCGGCCCCCGCAGGCCCAGGCAGGCGGGGACCAGCCGACCTGTCTGGACGGCCCTTTGCCTCGTTGCTGTTTTAAATCCCGTTTTCTGGCTCCTCTTCCTTCTGCGTTTCTTTCCTTATTTTGTAGAACCCACTGCAGTATTTTCCTGAAAAGGAGGTAAAAAAAACCTTTTTTTAACTTGCATATCTGAAATGTCTTTAATGTGCTGTCACTCGTTAGAAAATTTGACAGAGGACAGAAATCAAGATATAAAGTCACTTCCATCTGGATTTTTAGGAGACCGCGCCACTGACGTCTGGCTTTGCGTGGGGGAGGCGGGACGCAGCGCCCTTCTGATCCTGCAGCGTCTGGGTCCTCATCTCTAGGCGCTCGCGGGCTGTCTTTGTCACCTCTGTCACCTCCGAGGGTCTGAAGCTTCAGCGGCATGCTC